ATAACAATAACTTTGACCTTGACCTTAGAGTTTGACCTACTTTTTAAAAAAATTGAACGTTGACCATACTAAACGGTTAGGGCTAGGGCTTTCATGCTCTACATAAGTATTCTATGTGGCAAGACCTATCATTTGATACTAATTACTTTGACCTTGACCTTGGAGATTTTGTACTTATTAAAAATCTTTAACATTAGCTTACTTTCAAGTTTCACAATTGTTTTCCAGTGAGAATACCCTACGTTTGGTACCAATTAATTAAATTAGCATTTAAGAAAAGCTTAATCTTTGCTATGTTGCCATACGGGGGCATCAGTGTTTTACAAACACATATTGTTCTTTAAGAAGCCAGCAATTCATCATAAAACAAAAAACCAAAAAACCTAGAGAATTTCCCTTATATTTTAATTTAAATCTGATCCAGTCACCTGCTTGGCGCTGTGACTGCTCTAGAGTCGCGAAGTAAGAAGTTGACCATTATGTCACGGATTTGAATCCCACTGTGGGACGTGGAGACTGGTCCTTCGGATGAGACCGTATAAACTAAGGTCCGTGTCGCAGTAGGTGTTGCCACAAAAAATATCCCTCCCTGCTCAATGGCTCTGAGTGTTGAGTGTAGGACAAACTTTGCAGCCCTCAACGGGCAAGTGGTAAAATATATCAGCATGGTGTTGTATTAAGCAACGCACAGCGAGAAACCATGCATTTCTTGACCTCATGAGCAATTCACTTTATGGGGTTATAAGGCTATTGGTTTGAACATATTTTATTGTTTTGATGTTACAACAAAATGATTGGACACAAGTTCTTAAAAACTTAGAACGTCCTCTCCTAATAAGGCTATTACACAAGAAGCCGAGGTTAAATAAAATAACTTACCTTCAGAACTTTTTATTTCTTCAAAAAGAAATATTAACAAAAGTACAAAATGCATGTTTCGCTGAATATCTCTTTCAGTTGAAGTCGAGAGCCCCAAGATTTTAAGGTTAGTATTAATGAGTTTTCTTATGACGAGCATAGATTTAACACTTCCTTCCAACGAGTCAGTTATACTATAATTTTTCCTTTATGATCATTTCCTCTTAATGAGGCTACGGGGTGGCAGCCATTTTTAGACTATTTCAATCTCCTTTAAAAGGAGAGCTCCATATAAAAATATACAAAATGATAAAATTTTAAAACTAAAATATATGAATTTTTTCTTTGCCAAATGATAGTTGACAGCTAAATATACCGTATCTGAAAAAAATAAGTTAAATCTGGTGGTTAATTTCGGATTAAATCGTTGACCCGCCAGCCTCCTTAAAATCCTTATTTCATCCTATCTGCGTGAAGAGAACACATGGTTTAAAGACAGATTTGATACTCATGGCCGTACTAAATTGTACATGTAGTTGTATTTTTCTTTTTTCACTTTTGAAGGACAAGGAAGTTTTGATCTTAAGTACATAACGGGGGTTGTAATCGTTGTGTAAAGATAGGCTGTTGAGTTTTAAGAATTACCTTCCGCTATCACGGGATATTTTTTCCAGATCCTGTTTTGAGATACTGCTAAATATGTTTTTTTTTTCAATTTTACTATTTAAGAAGCCTTTATAACAAAATCGATTATCGTTATCTTTAAAAGACATATTAAGCTTCCACTGATGGTATTTTTTAATTTGTAGTGGCCAACTGTGAAAATGATTACTCTTACTTGTGAGTTAGAGTTAAGCAAAAAATGAAGTTGACTAAAAATTTGTAACATGAAAAAGATTCAAAGTAAATGACATACACTGTATGTTCAAAAATAATATACGTTCAAATCTGTTATCTCAAAAAAGTTCATACAGTCATGTGCCAAACTGAATATAATTTCCTCTTCCTTTTTCACTTCCGTTCAGAATGATCCAAGTTTCTTTGTGTTTAAAACAAGAGGCCCACGGGCCTTATAGGTCACCTGAGTATCATGTAACAACTTTCCAACAATTAGAATTGCCTCGTGTTTTAAACCAATGCCCATGAAATTCACAACTTTGAAAGAGGCACCAATGCTTATCATAACTTCGTATATACATGTACTTAACTTGCTTACTTTGGTAACTTAATACCCAGATAAAGATTAGAGTAACAATGAGAAAATGCATTTCCGCTTTATAACAGTTTTGCACCCCACCCCACAGGAACCACTGATCCTGGGGCCACATATTTAAAAATTTTGGAAATTTTACCATGAATTTTATTTCAGGATAAATGGTTGATTAATACCGTGGAGCAGATTTCAAAGCATCAATTTTTTCAAACTATGAAACTCATCCCCAAAGAGCCCCAGACCCATGGGCCCTGAAATTAACCATTTTAAAAGAGGCACATTTCATAATCTATAATATGTACTATGATCATTGGTATAACACCCAGGAGGGAATGAAAAGATTTTCAAAGATTTCATGCATTTTCACTGTATATATAATCATTAGAACCCTGCCCTAACACCAAAGCCCCTGACACAGGGGCCCTGAATTTAACAATTTTGGAAGAGACAGCCTTCCTCATCATAACTATTTACATAGTTCACTGGTTTAATACACAGGAGAAGAGAAGATTTTTAAAGAATCAATGTTTTTCATTATATAATCAATAGAGCACAACCCTAACACCAGAACCCCTGACCACAGAGCAATGAAATTCACAATTTTGGAAGAGGCAGCCTTATTCAACATAACTGTTTTTGGTTTGTTTATTAAATACCAAGGAGCACAGAAGAAGATTTTAAAAGAATGATGCATGTTCACTATATAAGCTATATAGCCCCGCCCTACCACCTAAGAACCCCTGACCCAAGGGCCATGAATTTCACAATTTTGGTACAGGATTCAGTGCTGATTACAATCATGCAAACAGTTTAACTGTTTGATGTTCAGGAGTAAACTAAAGAAGAAGATTTTTAAAGATTGAACTAATTTTAGTGGTTTGGCCCCACCCCTCAGGCCCAAGGGGGCAGGTGCCATGAAATTCACAATTTTGAAGGGGCAGCATTATTCAACATAACTATATATTTGGTTTGTTCATTTAATACCCAGGAGCAGAAAAGAAGATTTTCAAAGAAATAATGCATTTCACTATATAATCTTTATAGCCCCGCCCTAGCACCTAAGAACCCCTGACCACAGGGCCATGAAATTCACAATTTTGGAAGAGGCAGCCTTATTCAACATAACTATGCACTTGGTTAGATTATTAAATGCCCAGAGCAGAGAAGAAGATTTACAAAGAAATAATGCATTTTCACTATATAATCTATTCAGCCCCGCCCTAGCACTAGAATCCCTGAACCCAGGGCCTTGAATTTCACAATTTTGGTAAAGGACTCAGTGCTGATTAGAATAATGCAAACAGTTTGAATGCTTGATATCCTGGAGTAAAGAAGATGATTTTTAAAGATTTCATTAATTTTAGTGGTTTTGACCCCATCCCTCAGACCCCATCAATGCAGTGACCATGAAATTGACAATTTTTTGTTTCCCTTCACCCATTAAATCTTTATGCCAAATTTTATTGAAATTGGTTGAGCGGTTGCAGAGAAGAAGCTGAAAATGTTCCAATGTTAACACACGACACACGACGACGGACAAAAACAGATAGCATATAGGTCACCTGAGTAAACTCAGATGACCTAATTATTAAAAGTTATCCCTCTTGCATTGCAAAGTTATGATGTAGTAGTCTGGCCCTGCAGGTAACCGGAAATTGTGACATCGTCTGCTGTTCTATATATAGTTGTTTGTTTGAGAATGGCAGCTGTCATTGGCAAAAAATGCGATTGCTAAGTTACATAGAGCGGGTATCAAGGGTTTAAAGATAGATAAGCAAACGGGACATCCACTATCAATTGTGTATAGTGTTTTGAGACGTTTGAAAGGCCAAGGGAACATTGAGACCAGAATCTAAGTGGAAGACCGTCTTTGTTGTCAGAGAGGGATAGTCAGAAACTTGGAGCTATTGTAAAATCAATCAGGAAGCGTCCACTAGATATAACTTCAATGTTTAATAAATTGAGGCCTCGAACTGTGTAAAAAAGGACAATTCAGAGAAAAAAATATGAAGAAGGATTCCACAATGTGTTGTAAAAATGCTATCAGAATTCGTGCAGAAAATGTGAAAAAACGACTTGTTTGGTGCAAGCTGAATAAAGAGAAGACTTTAATTGAATACTGAAGAAAAACGTTATCATCAGTGACGAATGCATTGTGAAGTTGGATATGGATAAAGGCATTGTTGTTTAGAGACGGCCGGAAGAAGAGGGGACGCCCTTGCAATTGCTTGAATCCCGGTTGTGGTGCACGACATACTTCAATGTGGCATAGGTCATCCTTACAGTTTATTAGATATCACAAATCCATTTAATATATTAAGGAACCATACGGTTTTTTAAGTGTATTATTTGTTTTCGTGAGGTCACATTTTTTCAGGTTTGAAAATGAAATATTGGTTTATCGGGAACTGATTTCGAGATTGGAGAAGTGTTCAGTGTTGAGTAGTGATGGATATGAAATTTTACTGGAAAACAGCAAAAATTAAACCCCAACGAAAATTAATGATTTCACAGTAATTTTAAAGTTTATCTACTATCTTTCCACATATTATTAATTGACCTTAATGCTCTCTTCTGTAAAATAAATTTGCTTAATATTAGAAGGTATTACATGAAGTTCGTTTGATTTCGATTCATTTGTCATAAATTATTTGAAAGTATAATAAAATCACAGATAACACATAACAGACGTACATATTTATACATGCATGGTGCTCGTGAAATTCGGCCTAAAAGCTCGCAGGTAAGCTGAATAATAAATTATGAGATGAAATATGAACAAGAAAACGTCATTTAAAAAAAAAAAAGAAGAAGGAAAAATTAACGATGCCAATGCAGTTCTATTTTTACATCACACAATGTAAATTCTGGAATATACAATTTTCTTAGTTCAGATAACTGTTTGCTTTTAAAACAAGCACACATATTAATCTAATTTTTTGAATACTCAATCGGTACCATGTGTCTTTTTTACAATATTATACACCGTTTCAGTATGACATGTGCCCTTATTTGGAAGACTGTAAACGTCATCTGTATCATTGATTCCTGTATGATCATACATATTGTTCACATCCTGATCAATCCGTGCTGCCCCGTACTCGTCCTCAGTTGCCCCTGTATGGTCGTATGTATCCTCACACTGAATCTGTTGTATACCGTATTGATCGTCAGTCATGTGACTGTATGTGTCTTCCTGTACTAGTGTCACATCATTGTTATTCCTGTTCAGATGATCGTAGTCCTCTTCTGGTATTTCAACTTTATCGTTCATATTTTTAGTTGACTCTGGTCGTGATCTAAGTATAACATGTTTCTCGTTAACATATATTTCGTTCGAGTCTAGCTCTTCTGTATGTTCACGTTCACCAGTTGCTTGCTTAGTGCTATGATTTTCGGAGTTGATTTTTGAAGGTTTCTTTTGTATTATAAGGATGTCGTCCGAGTTCATGTACATAAAGTTAACTTGTTCTTTTGTTGAAGAGTTGTATTGTTGTTCATATTGTACTTTCACTGCCAATTTTCTATCAAAATTTAAAAAAAAAAACTTGAAAGAGAGTGTGTCAGATTGAGAAGGATATTTGTAGAAAAGGAGAATTTATTTATTTTTATGTAGAATGTACATTTTTTTTATTGATTTGAAAATCGATATAATTGTATATAATTTGTACGCAACAAAATCATTCATTAGGAAAGTTAATTTTTTTTAGCAAACACGGACCTCAAAAACATCAGAGGTGGGATCGGGTGGCAGGGAGGAATGAGCATCCCCTGCTGACCGATCACAACCGCCGTGTGCTCCTTGTCATGATCGGGAAATAACGGAAAAATCCGTCGTCCATTCAGTGTATAAATAATGAACTAACAATTAGTAAGAAAAACGTCAGTCAGCATTTGACTCAATGATAAATTGTATATGCTGACAAGGTCATTGTATCGACCATAGAACTTTCAAAATGATGACTTTAACCAGACTGCCGAAATTCTTGTTTCATCAACTTGTTTGTCAATAATTTACCTCGTTGTAGAAATTGTTCATACGAAGAGCATGCTCTTGCGTATCTAATCAACTGAGATATGTAAACTCCGTATGCAGGTGATGAAGGTAAATTGCTGCATAAGTTGATGATTGAAAAGTTCAAGTCGTCACGTTTATCATAGAGCTTGGTTGTTAGATTATCATTAATGTCTTTTTTTGGTTGTTAGTAGGGATGTCAAATCGGTCAATTTTTAATACTCGGTTACTCGGACGTTTTTCCGATCGAGTACCCGGGTACTCGGTTAAAGTGTAGATAAATATGAACAAGTAAATTGATGAATGTAAAACATTGTAAACATTTGTAGAAATAAAACCACGTACGTGCTCTGATAGGAGGTTACCCGTAAATGTATTTCTGTGTAACAATGATGAGCAGTTCGTGCCCGACGAAATTTAATATAACATTTTAATAAGTCCAATTTATTTATCAGATAAACACAAGAAATAAAATCATAAGTGGTCCACAGTGTTTTTGTTTTTTAAAAAATCTGCTCCGTAATTGTAATGCAACTCTTTGTTGCGTTTGATGTGGACATACAGGTATCAGTCGTCAGAGCTACGCACAGTATCAACTTCAACTTGATAAAGTTTTCCTAACAGAACGGATTTACGATTTCCAGACACTTTTCGATCCTAGATTTTATAGTTTAAGGGACGGTATTTTGTAGTTTGGTGCAACGATGGACATCGGTTTTTTGAAAGCCTTTGCCATCAACCATTTGTAATGGCATGTAATCAAACACAACCACATCAATAATCGCACGTGCACACGTAATATCATATATCTCTTTTCCAGAGAATTAACGGCTTCTCGGCAAATTGAAAAAATTATCTAACTGTTTAAACATAATGAGCTTAAACGGCAATCAGTGAAAAAAATAATTAAAGCAAACAAAAAATAAGGGTAGAAGACATCTGGAGGTGAGAAAAGCCAGGTAACAGGTGCTTGGTCATGATAATTACTGTATAAACACTGCCACAGGCGATAACGGTCATTTAGAGGCGTAGGAAACCCTAATTACTGTATGTAAAGGTGCAATGAACATTTAACGTTTTAAAACAAATTGTTTTATTCATTTATAAATAAGCTGGGAAAAATTCAAAAATATACATCCGAGTAACCGAGTACCGATTTTAGTATTCGATACTCGGACGTTCGATCGAGTACCCGGTTAACCGGGAACTCGTTGACATCCCTAGTTGTTAGATTATCATTAATGTCTTTTTCAAGTAAACTATCGAAATATGAAACAGATGTGTCAGACTCTGTATTGAGTTAAGAATGAAATTTTTCATTGTTAATTAACAGTACGTCGTCGATATATCTAAATGAAGAGTTGAAGGCCACAGCAAGTGTCTTCTTCTTTTCACGCATAAGATTTTGCACAAATTCTGCTTCATATGAATACGAAAATAGGTCTGCTAATAACGGGGCATGAAAGGTACCCATGGGAATTCCAATATATTGTTGGAAGACCATTAAACAAATGGAATTGGAGCAAAGCAAACACGCACCTCCAAAACATCAGAGGTGGGATCAGGTGCCATTGAAAATTACATGTTTACCCCCGCTCCCATGTGAGTATACTTTTTCATGTGCATATACAAAAGTTTACTTGCATAAACTAAGAAAGAGCTTATATATTTCCAACATCTGCAGTGAATAGTAACTAAGAAAAACTATGACAGGAATGGGTACGAACAGACGGACTGCTAAACAAGGAGTTGACGCTGAATTCGTACAATATTGAATCCAACCATATCGTGGGGTCTTTCGGGGCGGAGGTATTATTAATTGAAAACTGGTGTCATTTGACAAGATTTATTCTTGACGGCGTATTTTAAAAGTAAATGATGTCTTACAATGAACAATTGAATTATTCCAAATCATTTATCAACACGCAGGCTATAGACATAATAATGGCTTATCTTGAGCGACATAAATAAAAATTATTGCAATAGTTCTATGTACAATCTGTACAGCTGTATATTGAAAGGTGTCTTCAAAGACTAAATTGTAAAATAAATCAAATCATAATCTTCAAGTTGAATAGTTTCATATTCTTATTTACTAAGATCTAATTAGTGAAGATTAGTTTAAGTATAAAATTACAATTCCAAAGTTGTACCCGAAAAACAACTTAAATACTTAATTTATCATAATAAAATATCTTACCGTTTGTATAACATGAATACGACCAATGCACATATTAACACAACCAAGACAAACGAAATCACAGCAACTAATGTAAAGGTAAGCGTATCTACAAGATTATAAGTAAAAGTTTGAAGATAATTATAACATGAATTACACTTCTTCAATACTGTGTAAAAAATAACATAATTATTTATGACACCATTTGTATTATAAGAGGAAATGTCTATAAAACGCAACTAACCGTTAGTGACAGCAGTTTCCTGATTTTTGATATCAGTTATGTCGTTACTAACTTCTGAGAACACAAGACATTTTTCAAACTGCTCTGATGAGTTTCGTCCTTCTTAAAAAGAGGATAAGCAACGTTTAGAGGTTGAATATAAATGGAATTTGTGTCAAGAATGAGGCAGAATTTTTTACATTTCATCAGTGTGACGTCCAACAAAACATTTTTTCGCCTTTAAATGAAATAAATTTTATATCCACCTACAAAATATTGAGTTTTCTTCTTATTTTATTTTCTTTTTCTCCTTAGCCCCAGTTTTTGTTACTCTGTAGCATATGGAGGAGTATCACTCTATCTATTGCAAAATTTTTGATAATGGTGTTACCAAAAGTTACATTTTTAGATGGATTAACTACTGTGTTTCATTATTGAGGATGTGATAATGCGAAAGATAATATTTTCAATAATTAAAAAAAAAGATACACATAAACCTTAGCTTCGCTCAAGTGATCAAACAAATATGTAGCTTCTATATATTCAAATTGTGAAGAGTTCTGCCAAATTTTCAGTTTCTGATTAATCATTTTTCATGTTATTTTTAAGGTGCATAGACACAAATTTGAAGTTAGTATTTTCCGTATAATATCACGACTTATATGTTGTAATAGCATTTCACGCGAAAATAAATTAAACATCTAACTTCATCAAAAAGTTATTGAAACTTCAAATTTTAGGTGGGTTTTATTGACACATCCTTGCTCTTTCAAAAATTTTAATTTTATTCTTAATACTTAGGAAAAGTGGCAATCTTGTTGTTAATTAATAGAAAATATTAAAACTTTTTTTTTAATTACAACAGTGTGTCAATCAAATCATCCAAAAATTTAATGTTTCAAAAAACTTTTTGATGAAATAAGATTTTTAATTTTTTTCGTGTTAAATGCTATTACAATATATAAATTGTGATATTATACAGAAAATATTAATTTCATATTTGTGTCTATGCACCTTTATGTAAAAAATGCATAACGTCTATAAAATCAAATTAAGGACCCCATTGGAAATAAGCATCTTATTGCTTTCATGGGTCATCCTCGGGTAAATGGCTGTAAACAGTACACAAAATATAAAATGCTTCTTTTAGTTTCATTTAGATACACTGATGATTTCATGTGCCAACTTATGTTTTTTATGTGCCAATCTTATGTTACATGACAGGTGAAATTTTCCTGAATAAAGAAACAAACAAAGGATGAAGGATTTACAACTTACTCTCACAAACAAATGTTCTGGTTTTATTTGTGTTGAACGTTTCCCAGATGTAGGAGTACATGCCATATTTGTAGTCAAATGACATTAGGGCATCGGGACTACTTCTTAGAGCTGAAAAATGAAGCATTCAATTAGTTTTTTTCAAATGAAGTTTTTTTCTATGATAACAAATATATTTAAATTAATTTAATTTAAAACTTTTTAAAAAAAAAATTACAATTCCTTTTTATAAGAAACTTGTTGTACTTCTAATTTATAATTAATATATGACAAATATTGCAAGTAGACAGAATTAACAGTAGAAACTTTGTAATTTTTCCTGCAGTTAACTTAAAGAGTCAATATTTACTGAGTTCATTTATCCTGTGACGTACCACTTTGGTCTGAAGCTTTTCTCTGTGTCCGAATGATACCAGTCCACCTCTCCCGATCATTATAAGGACAGGCTGTGCTGGTTAACTCACCAATACCCGAGTAAGAACCCAGATTTCTCAGGCATTTCTCATTTAAGTTCCTCCATGTATTTTTGAATTCTAATTGAAATTTAAACTAGAAATTACTCATTCTGTGAATAAATATGAAAACAAAATCTCCACAAATGAAATATGAAGAGATGAAAATGACCCGTCTTAAAAGTTCTTTGCATTTTTTTTCAAACATATCATACATTTCAATTGTCATGGTTTATTGAGATTTTTGTAACACACCGTTTTGATTGATTTTTATCCGGATGTCATCTATAGCTATATCTGCTGTATTCCTATAAGGTACATTTGCTTCGATGCAAAGCTAAAAAAGAAAAAAAAATCGGCATTATAATATAATCTACTATATACAATAAATTAAATAAATAAGAATAAAATAAATTAAATCAATATCAATATCATTAAACAATTTGGATCGATATACGTTACCTTTAAAGTTAAATAATGCACATTAAATGGTGTGAATGAAATTAAACACATATATATGTATTGTAAATTCATGAAGGTTTGAGAAAACATCTACTTAGCGAACTAAAGGCACAAAACCAGACACTCAAGTAGAAGTATTTAAATACATGAATAAGCTAAATAATCCAAAGGATCCTTTAAGATTAATTGTATATAAAGAAAAGTTATAATCAGCCAAGTGGACTGCCAGAGAATCTGACAATTATAATAAACAGTTTCCCCCAACATTTAAACTTTCAAAATGTACACATGTATATTACTTTGAAAGGCTTCATCAATTTTTAGAGAAAAAGGCAATTTTTCATAATAGAATTAAATATTCTTTTTTTTTTACCTGCCACCTTCCTTTTATTATTGATGTTAAATTTATAAAGATCCATGACTCTCCTTGATTTCCAGTTTTTTGAAATATAAGTTCTTCTTGTACTTCATTTCTGAGGAAAACCTTAAGTCTTCTGATGTTACGTCCATACATATTATACCACATGCTGAGTGTTATATTGACATCTACAAATATATGGAAAACTACATTGTTGTTAAACATGTAAAAATTCTTAATCATCATTAATTCATACTACAACACGATGACCGTCACGGTCGCTCAGTCGGTCTAGCGCTCGATCCGAGATCGAAAGGTTGCGTGTTCGTAGCACGGTCGCGACTTACCTCAGTCGATACAAATTTCTTCGCAAAGCGTTCGACTGAAGAGAAGTTCTGGGTCTTTCGGTTAAGACCTTAAAAACCAAAGCCCCTTATCACGTAAGCACAACAAAGACACTCACTGCTTAATGGCCCTGAGTGTCGAATAAAGGTCTAAAGAAGAAGGTATGGTTTCCATACAAATTTTGCCCGTGATTTTCTAAAAAATGAAACTGGTGTAAAAGTTGAAAACTCATGCTTTTTAAATAATTGAAATTCAATGCAGAAAAATCATACACGTCTTTTTTTCACAATTTTTTTTAAATGCTTATTATGACGTCATAAACATGTGCATTTTCCCGTATTTTCTTAAAAAGTTGCAGAAGACACCAATTTTCAATGGAATTTTCTTTCAGATAACATTGTCCACAGGCATCGCCCACAAAGATCTTGAAATATGTGATTTGTTATTGAATTTTGCACAAAATATCAAAAAATTAACCTGGGCGACGGCTGTGGACACTGTTTTCTAAAGGAAAATTACCCTTGAAATGTGCCAATTTGAGGTTATTTCTGTTTAAAATAGAGAAATGCTTCACATTAATGACGTCATATTTGCAGAATGGTAAACCTTCATGCGATATTCTTTCCTGATTTATCAGAGTTGTTTATTTAACTAATATTTAAGCCAGTTTCAAAACTTTTTGATGCCATTACATTTTTAGGGCGCAAAAAAGCTAAAACCATACCTTCTTCTTTGAAGCCTTTCATCGGCACATGCTGACTTCTTTATATACATGTAAGTGACAAATTTTTGAACAGGACGTTTAACAACATACAATCAAGCTGACATTATGAACACATAAAATAACAAGAAGACATCTATATTTACTGCTGAGCAAGTTAATATCCGTATAGAGAACCAATCAATCAACAAGAACACTACAATGACATAAGAAGTGTGAAATTAAAGGGTTAAGATATCATTTCTTGAGTGGGGAATAAGAGGTAAAGGCTAAATACAAAATCTATGAAAAATACAAAATGTGCGATTTATTACAATATCTTTAATTTTTTTCCCTTTGCCCACCTTTATCTAGATATACATCCATTGGATAGAAACAAAAGAGGAACCAAAAAGGTTGTACAATTATGCAATTTTAATAAAAACCTTTCATGATAATTTAGGTTAATTTTGGAAAATTCACTTTAACATTATATGATTTGATCGCTTATAATTCCACAGAAAAAAGAGATGTTTATGAAACACTGATGCCCCCGTATGGTAGCTAAATATGGCGAAGTTATTTAGAAGTTTCTCAAATGCAAAACAAACTCCGAAGTCAAGGTTAGAATATCAAAATTGTTGGTATCAAGAGGAAGGTTTTTTCACAAGAAAAAACACCTTTGAAACATGAAAGCCTTAGTGCTAACTGTTTAAAAGTTATGACCAAGTTTAAAGGTTTTTTTTTTTTACAATTTAGATCAATTTCTATGGTCAAGGTTAAACATTCAAAAATATTTAAACCAAAGGTTTTGTCAAAATAAACACACATATGAAGAAAAAAAGCACTAGTTGTAACTGTTCAAAAGTTATGAACGAGGTTAAAGTTGGAGGGGGATGTGAAAGTTGATCAAACTCCAATGCCAAGTGGTCAAATTTGGTGGTACCAAAAGAAAGCTTTTGTCATGAGGAATACACCTGTAAAACATGACAGTCATAGCCCTTCGGGCTAAAATGTTATGGGCAAGGTTAAGGTTTTTGCGGACAAAAAGACAAACAGACAGACGAAAGGACAGGACAAAAATGTATAACTCCGGATTATGATTACGGGGGCATAAATATTTTGTGATTAGCCAACTGTTATATATATATATATATATATATATATATATATATATATATATATATATATATATATATATATATATATATATATATATATATATATATATATATTATATAAAGTATTATTAGTTACACAGTCAGTTAGTGACCTAATACGGATTCATACAGGGTGTGAAATGGAAATCCGTATTGGGACTCGGCTTCGCCTCGTCCGATACGGATTTCCATTTCATACCCTTTATGAATCCGTATTAGGTCACTAACTGACTGTGTAACGAATTTATCCCGCTGAAGACCTTATTCAATATAAAACAAGATGTGTTTCTAAAACACTGATGCCCCCGTATGGCATCATAGGAGAGATTAAGCTTTTCTGAAATGCAAATTTAATTGATTGGTACCAAAAGTAGAGTATTCTCACTGGAAAACACTTGTGAAATTTGAAAGTAAGCTAATGTTCAAGTTTTTTAATAAGTACAAAAATCTCCAAGGTCAAAAGGTCAATGTAATTAGTATCAAATGAAAGGTCTTGCCACATAAAATACTTATGTAGACCATGAAAGCCCTAGCCCTTACCGTTCAGATGTTATGGTCAACGTTCAATTTCTTAAAAAGTAGGTCAAACTCCAAGGTCAAGGTCAAAGGGTCAAAGTTATTGTCAGTAAATGAAAGGTCTCGTCATAAGGATTGAATATGTAAAGTATGAAAGCACTAGCCCTAACTCTTTAAAAGTTATGGTCAAGGTTTACTACTTTAAAGTAGGTCAATCTCAAAGGTCAGGGTCAAAGTTCTTGGTATCCAATAAAGGGTCTTCTGACAAGGATTACATATATAAGTATGAAAGCCCTATCCCTTACCGTTCAAAAGTTATGGTCAAGGTTAAAGTTTTTTCACAGGTACGGAAATCTACAAGGTCAAGGTCAAAGGGTCAAGGTTGTTGGTATCTAGTGAAAGGTCTTTTAACAAACATAACATATGTGAAGTATTAAGTCCTGGTGTCTACTGTTCAAAAGATATGACCAAAGTAAAATTTTAAAATGTTCATGTAAAAGTGGGTCAAACTCCAAGGTCAAGATCAAAAGGTCAAATTTGGTGGATCCAAAGAAGGTCTTGTCACAAGGAATACACATATGAAATATGAAAGTCATAGCTCCACTTAATAAAAAGTTATGGGCAATGTTAAAGTTTTTGCGGACAAACAGACAAACAAAGAGACAGAGAGACAGACAGACAGACGGACACGACAAAAACTATATACCCCCGAGACTTCGTTTACAGAAGCATAAAAATATATTTGTGCATATAATGAAAATATTAATTTTTAATCCAATAACAATCAACATTAAATATCGTAACGGTAACAAGAAATTTAACTAACTACCTACGTTAACCGTTTCTTAGCCGCCATTTTTATTTACAATATGATTGATTGATTGTATACTGTTTAACGTCCCTCTCCAGAATATTTCACTGATATGGAGACGTCACCATTGCCGGTGAGGGGCTGCAAATTTAGGCCTATGCTCGGCACTCAGGGCCATTGAGCAGGGAGGGATCTTTATCGTGCCACACGACGTTAACCACATATGCTCACAAAAGCCGAATATTACTAAATAAAGAAGGGTATGGAGATTGAAAACTAAAGTCATCTCCTTTGTTACCTATTTAATTGTAAGTTGGCTCTATAATCATTAAAACACTCAAACATATGTTCATTGATGTGAATAGAAATAAATGTTGTTCAGCGATAAAACGTCCCCAGTATATCTGAATGTCGAGTTAAAGGCCACAGCATCATGACGACCGTAAAAATATTGAAATTTTTCATTTTCAAACCTTAATCTACTTCCTCTAAAAATTACAGAATCATCTCTGTGTATTTAAAATTTTAATATGCATGTAACAAACTGACAACCCGCATCTATGAATATGAAACAGTGAAAATTTTAAACTGTACTCATGCTACTAAGCAATAACAGACCAATTCTCAGGTAAATGGACTTTCAGTAAGGCGTGACATTCTCGGCGCAACGTAATTAGCGTCTGTCAAATGGTGAATAGATTCTCATTGGTTAAGAATAATTTACACCAGGAACTTTAAGGTTTCGTCAAAGGTCAACATGTTCAAAACATTATTTTTACAATAGCCCTAAAACTATATATGTGTGGTATAAAGTTAAAAATTTTACAGTTTATAAATTTTTCATTGCTTTTACAGATAGAAAGTATCTGATACAAAAAATACTTGGAAAAAATATTAACTGAAAAAAAAAATCTTTTTTAAAAATGCAAACATTTTTAAAAAATACACCTAATTAATTCCGTGCTCTTAGTGAAAACCATCATTGCAGAAACAAAAAAATGTTTATCAATGAAGGTCATGTTGGACTTGGATAGCCTCTAGAAAGTTGTTTTCCCTGTTTATTTTGTCCAAATGTTAAGACTTGAAAGTGAAAGTACATTGCAAATGGCAGATTCTATAAGGGTCTTGTCTTTATACATGTCATGCTATCAATAACAGCCTTTCAGAGACCATTCATGTCCAACTTGCCCTTCAATGATAAACATATATTATTTCTGCAATGATTTTTTCACAAAAAGAACAGAATTAAGCAAGAGTATTATTTTTTTAAATATGCACAACTTCCGATACAAATTTTATATAAAAAAAAACTCGTTTATAAAATATTTGTTTTCAAGTGATACTTTCTATCTATTAATCAATGATATATTTATAAAATGTAAACATTTTGACCTTATTTTGACCTTATACCACACATAAGTTTGGAGCTATTGTAAAAATAATCTTTTAGACATGTTGACCTTTGACGAAACCTTAAATTGTTGTTGACAACAATGAGACGACTTAAGCACCACCTCTTTGACGGACGAGAAAACGTTAGTGGTTATTCGATACACTAATTGGCATTTGACCGAATTTCTATCTCATGAGTACTTCAAAGCTGTGTAAATTTCAGATACAAATTATGTAACGTCCAGAATGTCACGCCTTACTGAAAGTCCAAGCGTACCCAAGAATTGTCCTAATATCTATCAAATGGATCAGAGAGTAAAAACCTTAGGAAGAAAGAAAAAGGCAGAACAATACAAAAATAAAGTTTTAACCAATACTGTATTCTATGTATTTCAAAATCAATACTTACCCTTGTAATGGTCCAGTCAAAATCATCAGATGTGTCTTGGTTAAAGCATGTATCTACTCCTCCCTCAAAGTTACATTTCATTTCTCCTTTCATATGAAGCAGTTTTGTTGATGATTCCTCTAATATAAGAATATCCCTTGTATTCAGAATCATAAAATGTCTGATTAGTCTTTAACGCCAAGTTAGCAATATTTCAGCCATATTTTGTTGGAAAAACATTAATTAAACCAATGTTTTAGAATATTTATTTAGATCCTTAGATATAGTTAGAAGTTTTATGCAAAACTAAAACTATCAATTTAACTTTACAATTTTTTTTCTCTTACCACATGAACCTGCAATCATAGTAACATCGTCTATAGCAAAAATCAACCTTCGATTCCCTCTTGTAGCAAGGAATCCAAGCTGAAATTGACATTATTTGTTTTATACATGTACATATGGTTTTTTTAAATATAAATTTAATATATGTTTAATTAACTTCCTGAGACTCTGCATATGTTGTGTGTAGTGTATTTTATCTTTCCCATAATAAACTCGATCTATACAGTCTTTTTTAAAGATAAACATGTTTCTGTCACTGCATGGGGTTAATTTCCTAAATTAATGTGTAGCAATTGATAACCAAGAAATATTTCTACACAACTACATATAAGTTAACTGAACAGAAAGATAACCATAATTTCTATTTTGTAGATGCACGGTCTTATTCTAATTATTCAATAGAAAAAGACTAGATTTAAGGAGTTTGCACGAGTTTTCATTGCGCAGTATTTCGCGCAGCTTAGACAAAATCAAGCTTTTCACAGACATTTCGCCTGATAGATAGATAACTATCGTAATTCTTGTGTTTCAGATGCTATGATTAAAAATCATGTTACAAAATAAAGCGTATTAAATATACATTTGTGCGCATGATATTTAGAACAAAACAACTGAATTTTAAAAACTCTCAACTTTATGCTGATATTTTTTAAGAAATCATTATTAGCTGTCATTATTTGTAGTACATAATGTACTCTATAAAAACAGAAAAAAAGCTTATGACGAGGTTTGAAGTTTCTCAAATGCAAGTCAAATTCCAATGCCAAAATGGTAAAATTGTAAGTATTAAAAATACAGGTAAACTTCGTTATCTCGACATCGACGGGACAGTCGGAAAATGTCGAGATATCCGGGGTGTCGAGATATCAGAGTTGAGACTCGACATCCTTAATTTTACTGCATAGTAAAACCAAAGACCCAAACTGAACAGACGTGTAACTACAGGTACCTACGTGTCTTCAATTAGACTGTAGCTCGTTTGTTTCAGCTATCCCTCTACATTTATTAGAAAATCTAAGAAGTTATTCACAAATGTTATTAATGAAATGCTTTCTTTTTTATTGAAATCTTCTTATTTCACTAAAAGCCGTTTTCCATCCAGCATTCGATCCGCGTGCCATTAGCTCTGTCAGAACAGGATACGAAATGCGCTTTATAAATTCAAAACCGGAACGGTACAAAGTCGACTTCCGAGATACGGAAAAAAAGTTAATGCGTATATTTTCTTAAAATTATTTCATTTTACTTCTTTTTTTATTTCATAATCATTCCTCGTTAATTTTCATTTCATTTTCAAACCAAAATTTAAATGGAATTGGGCATTTAACAAACTTAATGATGTTACATATGCATCCATATTACGGCTGATGCAATGGTCGTGCATGTCGCAAGTTTGACTGATTCATGTTGAATGCATTTTTACCACAATTTTTAAGTTGAATTGAATTCAATGTGTATATTGTTCACTGTTATTCAGTTACCTTTTTTTTTATTTTTTTTTTTACAAAATGTTTAAGTTCTGTTAGATTTCGACACAAATAAACGGTTGTACATTTACGCAGAATTGAGTAGATTTACCATGATAATTACCCAAGCTGAACATTAAACAATTAACGTATTAAAGACGCCGAGGGGGCTTGGGATTCCTCTACAAACACATTTTTAGGGCAGTAGGTAGTCAAAACATGGGTGTGAAAGGTGTGAATTTCTGACGGCGTCGAGTTACACGGAGTCGTCCGTGCGTGACGAGCGACCAGCTAACAAACAATTAGGTTAAGTAGAGCAGAAAATTGCACCTATGTCGACATACAACAGGTAAATTTTGCTCTTGGGACTGTGAAATACGTCGAGATAAGCGGGGTAGTCGACATTACCGAGGTCGACATATCAGAGTTTTTGCAAATCATTTATATAGTAAATAATGCCGGGACCGCAGACGGACGTCGACATATCCCAGGTTGTCGACATATCCGATGTCGAGATACCGAAGTTTACCTGTAATAATAAGCGCGATAAAAATGTTATGTTTCGTGATATAATATATATTAAAATAAGTTATTTAGTATAACTCGTGATTAACGTAAAAAAATTATATATAATGGAGTCAATGTCAGTTATATACGAGATTTTAAAATAAAAATTCTATTGCACTTTTTAAAACTATAAAACCGAAATTTAATCAAGTAATTCTACTTTAAGATTTTAATTTTTTATTTTTAAACATAAATGCAGACTTACTAAGAAATCATTCTCAATCTGAATATTTTGTTCTGCATATTTCCATTCCTCAAAATCAGAACGGGTAATATTGACATGATACTTCACTTCCTTTGTAACATTATTGTAGGTCACCACAGTAAGGACCGCATAGGAATCTGCGCTGAAGCTGAAGTAACGAAACCGTAGGCACCACTTCTTAGCTTAAAACCAATTTTAGTGTAAAAAAAAAAGTATAATCATTTTCAGATAAAACACATTCGACTTTAAAAACAGTTTTATAGTTTAATTGACAATATTACATCAAATGTTTTATATCTTCTTGGTTTTTCTTTGAAGGCGTATTGCTTTGGATCATAAATAAATAATTGTAATCTTTGTACTTTGTACTTGACGGACTTTGTATTAAAAAATATATTATTTGAAGGGAAAGATTTTTTAAAATCAATCTTGCAAATTTTAAGAAAGGTAACTCTTCTACTGGTGAATTGTCTCTCAGCCGATGAAGTTCGATCTGTTTTATAGGTTAATAGTAATAACGGAATTAAAACGACTGGCTGAATTCCAAAAATTGATGGCATTTTGCTATTATGGTAATGATATTTTACCAGATATTTTATCAACTTGATGGTACTGAACTAAGAGTTATTTTTTTATGCAAATAGATAAATATTTTACCTACCTGGAAATAATGTATTGGAACCAAAAAACGATGTATTTCCTTTATTGAAAGAGGTGTAATCCACGTAGGCAAAATATGATCCCTCGTAAGCTTGTTCGGGTGTATTTTCATTGGTTTTCTATATTTATCGTACAATGGCAATGCTTTCTTATTATTCTAAATATATTTTTATTAATTTTTATAAAATTATATTTTTATGAAAAAAAATAGGATTTCCATTATGTACAATATTAAATAACTACAGAAAAGGTAAAAACAGAAAAATAAATTCTATCTGTAATAACAAAAAGTAAATGAGGTAAAAATTGAATTAAATTAATAAAATTAAATCGCATTTCAGCTCCAATATATATAGATTTCATTCTTATGTGT